GCCGTAGCCCTCGCCGCGGCCGCCCTCGCCGTAGCCCTCGCCGCGGCCGCCGTAGCCCTCGCCGCGGCCGCCGCGGCCCCCGCGGCCGCCGCCGCGGGGCGCGCGGGGCGGGCGCTCGATGGGCGCGCCGTCCTCGCCGACGGCCTGCTTCACATCGCGGTCCTCGCGGTCCTCGCGCACCGAGATGCGGCGACCGCCGAGGTCGACGCCGTTCAGCGTGTTGACGGCCGCAATGGCCTGCATGTGGGCAGCCGTGGCTAGTGAATGCCCTCAGGGTCGTGTGGATGCGTGCGGTACCCACTGGCTGGCTGGTCACCCCACGAAATGACAGCAGAGCGCCGTGCTGTCGTGCGCCTGGGGCTGCAGCCGGACCACCAAAACCCGCCCCACCTCATCAGGGGTCTCGAACTCCACGATACCCCAGCCCTTGGAGCGACCTGGTTGCGGCAGGTCGGCGTGTCCGAGTCAGATCACACGCGTGTCCCGTGCGTCCACAGGGGTCCGGATGAGGAGTGATATTGTCGACGCTATGCATGCCTCAGGCAAGTTTCAGCCCGCCTTGGTGAGCAGGCTGGCCTTCACCGGGTACTCCGTGCTCACCGTCGTCCCCGCGGGTGACGTTCGCGTAAACGACGTTGCCACACTCCCTGAACTTGTCTTTCAGGTCCTGCCAGCCTGGAGACGGAAGGGAGGCCGTTGGCGCGCTGGTCCAGACCCCGTGATCTGGCTCCCGCGGTGTGCCACTGCTTCCTCCTACCAGACCCCCGCCCGTTCAAGCGCCCTCAACGGTGGCTCACTGGTGCGCCAGGCCAGGTTTGAGACGTAGCACCGACGCCCTATGCGCATCACTCCCTCCTCCCCCTCTGCCATTGCGTCCCCTCTTATGTACGGTGTATAGCACCCTGTTCCGACCAACCTCACTGTGCCCCTGCTTCAGAATCCCCTGAATCGACACAAAAATCTGACTGCGGGCTGCACGTCCCAAGTACACAGCGGCAGCGCATGAGCAGGCAGTGTCACGGGTGACACAAGTGACCGACGGACGGCCAGGGCATCAGTGGGTCCCAGCAGGGTCGTGGTCAGAGCCGCCTCTTTCTCCTCCCATGCGCATTCTGCACCCTTCAAGTCAATGTGTGTCTGGCATTGATAGATGGAGGGGTGCATGTTGAGAAACGGGGTGGAGCAGAGCAAGCCTGATTAGCACAAGGGTTGCATAAGCGCTGGTGCATCCCCTACCACTTGAGCCCCGGTTGCTACGTAGGCGTGCTCAAATTACTGACAGCAAAGGCAAATTCCCTCGGCCAACAATGCCAAGCAATATCGCGCTGATTGGTCAGATAAAGTCGCTGTCATGGTCTTGGCAGGGCAGGGCAGTGGCAAGCATAGCCAGGGTCGTTTCATCCACCTGACGTGGTTACACCAATATGTGCCATATGCAAGGCCTGATGCACAGCCTGATGCACAGCCTGAAGACAGTCGCTCTCCTGTCATCAGTGCTGTCAGCAGCATGCATCGCCCTAAGTGCATGTGGTCGCTCTCTCGCGCGGGCATGTGGTGCAATATGCATGATTGAACGTGAATCTCACTTGTCGGGAGTAACCGCCCAAAGAAACCGCCCTTTCTTCAGGGGTTTGAGCCTCTAGCAAACAGGCCAAGCTCTGTCCCTAGTCGTATGAAAGGCCCCGGTTATAGTTGCGTTCAAAGCTGGCACGAGCCGCAGCCCTGCGTTTGGCTCCCTCGAGTGGCCCCTGCGGGCGCACAGGAGGAGCACAACGGCAGAAGCGCAGGTGTGTTGCCGGAAAGGCGGGCGGCCTTGAAGTCAAATGGGCACATGCAGGCACCAGGAGGTGCGCCAAGACACAAAACTTATCTTGTTCCCATCCCCCACGCCAGCCCCACGAACCCACCTGCTCCGCGTCGCTGTAGGGCGCCGCGTCCAAACCCGCCCCACTGTCGGCCGATGACCCCAGCGGTCGTGCCGCCTGCGCCACGCGGCGGCCGTGGCCCGGCGACCCGTTGTGGCCTAGGGCACCGCTGCTGCCGCCGCCGCCGCCGCCTCGTTGGTGGGACCCAGAGGGGCTGACGAGGTGCGTGTGGTGGCCGCCACCGCCGCCAGCCTTGTGCGGCGGCATCCAGTGCTGAAAGCTGGCTGTAACCTCAGGGGCGACTCTGGCATGCTGGGCGACGCCTGCAATCACGGTCCCCGCCCCTGCTGTAGCCGTGCCGGAGGCCGCCGTGGCCTGCGCCGCTGCCGCCTCGCCCCACCTAGGCGCTGCCGCTGCCGAATCCCAGTCTCGCGCTGCTGCAGGCGCCTCCCACTCCTGGCGCCCCTCGCGCTCATACGCTGTGCAGCGCTGCGATGGCGCCTCGGGTCCTGGCGGTGCGATACTGTAGACCCCGCCGCCAATCGCACTGCTCGCGCCACGGCTCATGGCAGACCCTGGCACCGTGCGGATGGCGCCGCTCGCACCCCTGCTGAAGCCGCCCTCGGCGCCCGTGCCGAGGGCGCCGCGGCCAAAGCTGGCATCAACGGTGCAGCCAATGGCACCGCTTGCGCCGCGGTTGAAGGCGCCGCTGCTGACGGCATCGCCCGCAATGCAGGTGAAGCCGGTGTCCTCAAACCCGCCGGCGCCGCTCGGCCTGCCGCCACTCTCGCTGATCAACCCGGCAGCGCCATGATCGTGCCCGTACTCAGTGGCAGCGCTGAAGCCTCCGCCGAGGTCCCTCGCCGCCGCGGCCACCGCTGTAGGGCTGGGGGGAGCAGGGTCGCGCACCGCCGGCAGCGACAGTGTCGGGTGCTCGCCGCCGTCATCAGACGGTATGCAGGTGCCTATGCAGGCGCCCGTGGGGCTGAAATCCAGCTCCCCACAGGACGCAGGCCGGTCAAACACAGTGCTGCTGCTGGGCATCGCCGTCAGCAGTGGCACCGACGACGGCGCCGCCAGCGCGGCGATCAGGCCGACGGGGTTCCAGAGCGGCAGCTGCTGCTGGGGGCGCGCGCCGGCGCGAGGCAGCTGCAGGGGTGGCACGTTCTGGCGCAGGCCCACGAGGACGCCTGGTTCAGGGCGGAGAGGCAGTATGGGGTCAACAAATTGTCCGTACAGCGGCTCTATAGTGGCGTTCACAGCCGATAATGCAGGACCCAGCGCCGGTCCTTCTCACCTGCCAGTGTGTTGCTGCGCTGCCGCGGCAGCCTCATGTGCAGCACGAGCACGCGCTTGTTGTGCCGCAGTGCGGTCGCCTGCCTCAGGCTGCAGCGCTGGCACTGGGCGAAAAAGCGCTGCGCCGGGCGAGCAGCTGTGGCGCCTGTCAGGCCTCGTACCTGGGGATGCACGCATGTCGATGGGCGAGCCCTTGGGTTGAAATGCGCACAGTCAAGCATCACACACGTCCTGGCAGGCCAGCATGCAATGGCACACAAAGCGTCTGCTTTTCCCTCTCTAGCCGCCACAGGCTGCCCGCGGTGGGGGTGCCTACCCCCACCTGGCGAATGCCTGGCAGGTCGTTGAACCAGGCCGCCAGCTGGCTGGCGCCCCGTGTGAACACCAGCTTGTTGGGGGGCATGTGGTCCCCAATGACAGGGCCCCTGCGTGTGCCTGCGGGCCAAATAATTTAGATTTTGCACAAACAGCCTCTTCAGACTGAGCCGGGCCACTGGGAGTGAATCAGACTGCTGCGCACTCCGTGGCTCTGCGCGTCACAACGGCCCTTCCACAGTGGCGGCGCAACAGTGTCACCGCAGCCCCCTCACCGCAGTGGTGGCACCCGTCCCGCCGGAAGAAGCGCGCCAGCTCCCGCTTGGCGGCCGGCCGCACGTACTCCTCTCCGTGGGCGGGGATGGACTCGAAAGCGAGCGCGCCGGGCGACGCCAGGTCGCTCGGCATGATGCTGCTGAAGCGGCCGCCTGCAGACTGCAGCCGGCACGTGCGCGTTCTTTGTGAGGGCATGCCAGTCAAACAGATGCGCCGATCCAAGCTGTTGCGGGCGTGCTTGGGGGCACCGACGGTGCACGAGTCCCTGCCTCAACGAAGCTCACGTGAGTCGGCCGTAGCTCGTCAAAGCCGCCAGCCCAACCCTGCACCCTGACGTGCGCCGCACACCACCCTGCCCTGTACAGAAACGTCAGCAGGGCACGCTATCGGGCGGCGTTTGAATCCCACAGGCGCGAACCTTATAGACGAGGAGGCCCAGCACCGCATTGGTCACGGCGTCGTCGACGCGCATGGGGCGCCACCACCCCGGCCGCAGCGGGTTGCCGCCTTCCTGGCACAGCTTGTGCGTGTGCGCCGACACGTGGCCGGCGAGCACCGATGCGCAGCCGACGCCGATCAGGCCTAGGCAGGGACCAAGAACAGGTGTGCAGCACGAGATGCGCAGGCAGTAGCCTACGATCTGCGCAGCGCAGCGTTCAGTGTGTGTGAGGACGTCGTCGCCGTGGGTTGGTGCTGTGTGTGCGCGCGACCTGTGTATTTGTGTGTGTGTGTGTGTGTGTGTGTGTGTGTGTGTGTGTGTATGTGCACGCGTGTGTGCACGCACATGCAAATAACAGGTGTGTGTGCAGCAGGTGGGTGAAGCACAGGTGCACACGGGCAGAAGAGGCTCTCGTTGTGCCGTCTCATGCTCCCAAAGAATTGAGCGCTAAAAAACGCAAAACGCACCTGCGTCGCTTTGATGCCCATTGTGTATGCCGCAAACGAGGTGCCCATCTGGGCAAAGTACGGTACCAGGGCAGCAACGCCTGCGGCAACATGCAGGTGATGTTGGCTGCAACAGACGGCTTGCAATGCGGCACTGCACCTGCCTCCAACCGCCCCACGTTCAACGGATCCAGCGGCTCCATTGCATCTTTATGCAAGTACTCACCTTTCTGCGCGGCTCTTCGCACATTTCCTGTGAGTCGCTTCGCTCTTTCCTTTGCGCGGTTTGATGCTCTTCTCCGCTGCATCTAGACCTCCCGCAGGCTGACCAACGTGCGGAAATAACAGTGTAATCAACTGTCCTTCTTGTCGTGCCGTTGGTCTGCTTGGCGACGATCAGCAGCTCCCAGCTGGCCACAACAACGGATGAGCGCGATCACAAATTATACCGTAAAGGAGGTAATGCTCACCACAAGCTACTGCCTTGCACATCGGACGCAGGCTGAAAGGCCGTGAGTCAACCTGATGATTGCCTGGTGGCCAAGTTGCCGGGGCGGTGGTCAAACTCCTGTACCGTACGTTCTCCACTCACCTGCGCGATACGGTATAGGCCTCCAACCTGACATGCACTGTTTACACATGCATATTGCGCATGGGTTCAGAAACCGTGGTGATCCATGTAACAAGACCCTCAGAGGTAACTCCACACTCCATCAGATCAGTCTGGAAGCCCTGCCGCCTGCAATGGATGGATTGCCTGACAGAACACTGCACGTACTTACATCTATGATTACGGGCAGCAAATTTCCAATCATCCAATCAATTAAACCAATCAATAACTAGTGATAGACCAGATCTTGCCCAGCGGCGCGCTATTTGTGGACCTACCCTGCCGGGGAGCGGTTTGGCAGGTCATGGTTGCCACCCATGGCCACTATTCGGCCCTTCTTGGCTCATTGCCCTATCAGTCGAGTCGTCGGGTTCCAGCAAGTGCCCACGCGAGCCAACATAATCATTTGCATTGATATCAGGGGCTGCACAGCAGCACACATGGCACGGCCCATCTTTTCATCACTGCTCCTCTGATCGCCTCATGCTTTGTTCGATGTGTGTGTGTTCATCAGGCACACAAACGTGCTTGAGTCAGTTACCGCAGGGAGCACCGCTGCACTACAGCTACGCGTGCAGTACCATGCATGAAGTTGAGGACCCAGGTGTTTGAGGGTGAGCAGCACTTGTCGAGCCGTCTGTGAACACTAGGCATGCATCGATGCGTTCTCCTACAGCCAGCCAGCGTGTCATGCTCAATTCAACCCATCAAGGCGCTTGTGCCACAACCCGCAGCCGGCCTGGTGGCCCAGCATCCACCACGTCCACGTGCCATCCGGCAGCCTTGAATGCATCAGCAGCCGCAGCAGCATCCACGCCGCCAGCCTCTGCACATAGCCGGCCGCCAGGCTTGAGCACAGACCTCACCTGCACAACAAAGATGGATTGAAACATCAAAGCGTGAACGTGTGACCGCGACACGAGGCCCAGTGCACCTGCAGGGACAGCTGCTTGAGCAGACACCATCATTGTCCCGCCAATCAAATACATGAATAATTTGGTGGCCCACATAAAAGAGGCCCCCGCAGCGCGCCCGGCCATTGCCCCAGTCCCAGGAACTCCCTGCACCCCGGACCCACCTCATCCAAGGTTGAGCGCGACAGCAGATCACCCAGTGACATCCCCTCCCCATGGTGGAACAGCACGACGTCGTACGGCCCCCGCTCCATCGACGCCGCCAGCGCCCCTGCCGACAACGGCCCGCCGCTGGCGGCGGCGCCGCCGCCGCCATAGGCAAAGCACTGCAGGCCGCGCCGCGCCGCCGCTGCCACGTCGCGGTCGGCGCCGCAGACCCGCAGGCCTTTTGAGGCGAGCATCTTTGTGAGGGCCCCTCCGCCGCACTGCAAGTGCAGCACGGTGTGGCCGCCGACGGGGCATGCCTGCAGGCCGCCGGCGGCGGCGCCCATCCGAGGGAACGAAGTGGTAGCCAGGCAGAGGGCGTTCATCTGCGGCAGTGAGGAGGGCCCAGGTGGGTGATGTAATGTAATGTAATCAAGGGCCGGGTTAATCTGTATTGGTGCAGGGCAGGGCAGCCTTGATGGGAGGCCGTCATGGGTGCTGGCCCTGCATTTACCGCTGGGCGGTGGATGGCCTGCGCCTTTGGGTCGATGATCCTCAGACGTGGACAAGCCGCTTAGCACGCTTTGGTGCCTCATGCTGGCCACGTGGACGCTGATGCCCGACATACCCGCAAACCCGACGAAGGATGCCATCCCAGCCCAGCCCTGTCCGTCATCACCAGCCACCATCCACCAGACCGCGCACCCCGATCAGGTAGTCCGCAAAGTCCAGCCCCGGCGCCGGCGACCCCGGCTGCAGCGGGTCCGCCAGCGCCACCGCGAGCACCGCGCGGTCCTCCGCGCCCGCCACTCGCGCCCGCCAGCCCAGCAGGGGCGCGTCCTCCTCATCCGTCTCGTCCCCGTCCTGGCGGGTGCGCAGCAGGATGTCGTTGAGCTCCGACAGGCTGTGGACCGTGATCGTGGGGACAGCGCCCGGTGGCGGGCCGGCGTTGGCGGCGCCGACCTGCGTGGGGCAGGGGCAGCAGAGGGGAGGTGGCGGGGGCAGGACAGTCCTTGTAAAGCGAGGCGGGTCTGGTGGTTAAAGGTTTGACCACACAACAAGCCACGGCTCCACTCTCTGCTGAGGCACAGTGTGGCGTCGGCCGCTGGACGTGCGCTCTGCCCAGGCATTGTCCGAGTGCGGATGTGAGGCAGCCAGGTGGGAGCCCGAATCTGCAGCTCACCTCGTTGCCGCCGCCCGCAATGAGGCAGGTTGCAGTGCCCGCCGCGTTGCCGCACTCCACGTCTTCGTGAGAGTCTCCTACCATGAGCACGTGACCTGGGCGCGCCCCCAAGTCCTGGGGAGGCAAGGGAGTAGACAAAGTAAGCGATTATATTTATTTGATGGCTCTCACCCTCCACATACACGGAGGCGTGATTCTAATTAAGCTGTGAGAGTGGCGTGGGCACACTACCACATCCTGGCTGCCAGAACCGCAGCGCACCCTCACTGACGCAACGCCCCTTTTCCGCTCTCCCTCAGGACTCCCTCAGGAAGACCCTCTTCCTCATGAAGACCCTCAAAAGCCGCCCGACCGTCAGCTGTCTCGCCCCACCCTGCTATCTGCTGCTCGAGCGCACCTCCGCCAGAGACAGCAGCAGCCTCTTGTCCGGCTTGACGTAGCGGAACTCGCGCGTGCGGATCGCGTCAAAGGTGCCGCGCCACTCCTCGCCCACCAGGCGGAAGAACGCGTCCACGCTGGCCGTCGTGTTGCGGGTGACGAGCGCCACCTTGACCTGGGGGGCGGTGCAGGAAGCGCAAGTGTGGGAAGTTGAGCGGTGGCCAAGGTGCAAGGTGTTGCGCAGCCGCTCTTGCACGCAGGGTCCGCCTGAAACAAACAACTTCCAGGCGCATGAGGCCAGGCATCAACATGCAGAGCCCATGACTAGCAAGCCAGATGCCACGGATGCATATGGCACAAGTAGCAACAAGGGACCACCCAACGCCTGCGCAGTTTGGCAGTCTTAGACAACTGCATTATTGCGCTCTGCTGCACCCAACCACCGGCGCCGGCCGCCGCAAGGGCCTCACGTCGTGGTCCCTGAGTGTTGCCATGAGGTCCTGCAGGCCGGGCATGGCACTGACTGTCTTGGACGCCTCTGCCTCAATCTCCAGAATGACACCTTGGGGAGGCCAGGGGGTTCACAAAGCGCCGTCAGGGCGGATATGGCGAATGCCGTGTGCCCGAGAGACCCGCCGCATTTTGATGATGCCGCATTCAACAGTCTTCAGTCTGCAACCTGCTGCGGCGGTTGCGGTGATGCATTCGCGAGTGACGGGCGCAGCTGTGCACACCTTCCAAGGGCGGTCGCCTGGTGCGGCTTACCCATGGCGCGTGCAACCTCCTCGGGCTCCTCCCACGACTCCATTGCCACAAACAAGTCGCCCACAGGGATGCCTGTTTATGGGGGGAGGGTGTGGCACAGGGGTTGGGTACCGTGGGCGACGCGACCTCATAGAGCTTCAGGTAAGCGCCAAGGTGCTGCACAGGCCCGCAGCCCGCACTGGCGACCGCGATTGCCCTCAATGCGGTTGCAGCAGTTTTCAGGTGCCGCCCTGACCTGTGCGCTTCCGCATGTCAACGAAATCTGATGGGGCGATCAGGGTCCACATGGGAGGGGGGGGGGATGAGTGAGAGTCAGTGCACCACCGTGAGCGCATCACCCTGCAAGGTTATTGCTGCCATTGCTGGAAGCAGTCCTTCTACTAATAGTGAGCATCCCATCCATCGCTTCCAGCCAGGGGCAGCCCTTCGTTCTCATCTATTTAAGTGTTTTTGAGGTTCTCACAGGTGTAGGGGTTTTCAGGTGAAGCACAAGCCAGGGTTGACCATGCGCAACCATGCTGTTGCTCACCGATGTGCGCCTTAGTGAGCGTCCCGTCCATGTCAAGGGCAACCGCATCATACAGCAGCCGCCCGCCGGTGCTGCGGCGCACCTGCGCCGACTGTGCCGTGGCAGCACACCGCCAGCGCGCAAGCCACGCCTGGCACTGTGACGGGGGTGGTGCCCTGCATTGGCCCAGCTGCCGCTGAAGCCTCATCACCAGAATATTGTGCCAGCCTACGAACTGTGTTCTCGTGATGCTTGAAGCCGCTGGTAGCACGATCCAAATTATGTGCTCGCGCGAATCAACCAAGCGCAGGCTTACTTCACAATCACGGCTACGAATTTTCTCTGTCTTTGAAAGTACAGAGACAAGGCCTTGTGGTCAGCACGCTTGACAATTCATGTCACCGGGTGAGTCGGCCATGGCGCTGCTAGCGTCGCAGCAAGTCGGCGTGTTTTTCGCCGCTGGCTGCTCAAACACCCACCCGCCGCATGCTGCCTCAGCGTACGTTGCTAGCTTACTTTGGAAGGTTCTACAATGGCCAACTGATACATTGTACAGCGCGTTGGAGGGACCGCATGACAATGGATGGCAACGTCCCTTGCCATGTACAGGAGCCCAGCAGCACGAGGAGCTATGGGCCGCCAAAAGCGATTGCACACATGCGGCTACGTACGCTCAATTCATCCTCATATAAAAGAGAGACGACGAAGGGCAGCCTCGATCCATGTGGGTTTCCCACAACTCACGGCCGCATCTCCTGCAAGTGGAAGTTGAACTTGACCAAGTGCCCGCTGGGTGGCTGGCCGGAGAACGGCAGGCCTGGGCCCGACAAAAATGGCAGTAGGCCCTGCTCAGACGTGGGCCCTTTGATGGCCCAGGAGCGGTCCTCCAGCGCTGCGTGGTAACTTGTCACCTGGAATCGACTGTACATCGACGGCAGCGGTTGGGTTGTTGAGTGGTGTGAAACTTCCAGGGGTGAGACAATCTCAAACATGTCGGTGGGGACGAGGGTGAGTAAATTGCACTGGGCAGAATGGACGGTCACATGGCATGGCATACGATGCACCTGCCACTGCGCAAAAGGAACATGCGTTACAGGCGCGCGTTCGAGATGGCAACAAATCGCCTGAAGCAACGCAGGGAGGTCGCTGCGCCCCAGGCGCCCCGGGCTGTCGGGTGCGGGCGTGCTCGTACCAGCGGCAGCCAACCTTAAACGGGTATTCAGTTGCACCGCTGCTGCAGCCAGGATATACTTGGCGTGCACCAAGTTGGGGTCCAGTGCAGAGATGCTGCGCGTTTTTGCGCGTTGGCGCCGCACAAGCAGCATCGATCTGTCCTATCCCCACAAGCGCGTTGCGTATGCCCACACTGCGCTAGGTTTCCACGGTGATCCGACCGTTTGCAGATGCTGAGTGATCGCCTGCCGGTCTTCACCTGCCAGACGTCCTTACACTGGGCAATCCCTTGTTGCGGTACCTCCCTGATGGTTGCCACATTTGCGAAACGGCCCAGTTCTTAGGCGTTGATGCACAGACCACGCACCCTCAGCGCAAACGTTATTACCCATGACCACGAGAAACTGCACCACGAGACACTGCACCAGCTCATCAGGGCTGGAGCAGGTGAGGGCCATGTCATCGTCATAATCAAGAGTGGGCGACCGAGAGATTGGTGTTGTAGGTGTCATGGTTTGCTGGGGGAGACGTGCGTGTGTGCGCCATAACAGCCAAAGGCCGTCACAGCAACAGATAGATAGATGTATAAGTTACTCATGCCATAGCATCACTGCCATCGGCCCTGCGCTCACCAGAGCGGACCTCCTGATTCCTAACCTTCCAACGGATCTGCGCTGCCAGCAAGCATACACGCAAGCGGCAATGATATCAGCAAGCACACAGCCACCAAAAAATTCAAGTCGAGCAACTTGTGAGCTTTCTCCTCAATCTTCAGTTGCTGCAACATATGCCAACATTCAGGCGCGATCTCTTCCTCCAGCCGCCGTCACAGCTCTCCTGATTCATGCTGGGGGCAGTCCAATAGAAAATGAGACTCTGATTGCAGCAACACCACAGCCATTGGGCATGTGCGCCAGGGCCTGCCTCATCACAAATTCTGTGAACGCGTTGAACAACAGCGCCAGGATGAGCCCTGCCTGCTTCTTAGGCCGAGGTGCCGAGCGAGATCACTGGCGCGCAAAGTGACGGCGTGCCTCACATCATCATACACAAGGCATAGTGTGATGTGATTACGACCTTGAGCCAACCAACGAATCAATCTGAGTGAACACGCATGTAATTCGCAAGTGCATGTAGATCGCTGCGGTCTGGGGCTAGAAGGGGGGCCGCAGTTGGCCTCCTGCCTCGGCCAAAGCCTTTTACATGCACGTAGAAATGTAGTCAGCAGGGGCAAGGCGCCCCTTGCTGCACGAACGCGCCAGATCATGCTGGTCGGCATTCTGGCTCTTCTGATCCTGCCCGCGAGGGCCCAGTGCATGCCTGAGACTTACGACGGTGCACTAAGCCGTGATGACGCACAGCCGCGCGGGCAAGGGCCGGGCTCGATGGCCTGCCGACTGCGCGAGGAACACATACACAGGCGCAGCCGCAGTGTAGCAGCGGACGGCGCTGCACGACCTTGCCACGCCACACCACGCGCCCAACATGCCACCCGAGCTAAATCTTCCGGCCGCCCGTGTGCACACACCGCCACGCGCGTGCACATGGGTAACATCTGGCAACACGCGGCTGCGACGCTGCTTGTCGGTGCAGTGCTGCTCCGCTGCAAGCGGATGGCCCTGTCGTGTCCCACACCACGCCTCGCCTCAGGACGGCGGTCTAGCAGACAAGCTGGTGCTCGCAGGCCACGCGCAGCCCCGAGGGGTGTGCGCGCCAAAGGACAGCCTCGCAAGCTAGAGATAGCTAGGGGCCGCCTGCGCCCCCAGCACGGCGCCATGCGCCGGCCGCGTCGAGGCGTGCACCTCGCGAGCCCCATGCAACGACCGGCGCCCCAGGGGTGGCGCCGCATGCCGGCCGGGAGGCCTAACCCGGCCTGGATCCACATGCTGAACGTGATACAAACCGTCAAGCGCAGGGCGCAGCTGAGGAAGGGTATGATAGGGGGAGGCCCACGGCTGCAAGCAACTCAGCCCACCAGCACCATGGGCGCCCTGGCGGATCCCATGCCCACGCAGGTTGGATTGCACTGCGATGCACAAGAGTCGGGACACTGCGGCGCCCATGCCCTAAATGCTCTCCTAGGCCGCCGGGTCGTGACCGGGACGGACATGATTCAACACCTCCGCGCTGCATGGCCGGCGGGGGAGGTAGGAGAACACTACAGCGGCGCCGGATGGTTCACCACCAGCGCCCTCAACAGGTGGTTGTACGACCATACGCCCCATGGGTTCAATGCGTTCTTTGAAGTTGTCTCCTGGCTCACATGCGACCCACAGTCGGCTCACACGCTTGCCAGGCACATCCGTCGCCACGGTGCAACGGCGGTCCTGCTCACGAATGGGGAACATTGGACGTGCGCACGCACGGGGCCCGCGGCCGACGGACAAAGAACATGGTACCTCTTGGACTCCATACACTTCAGCGCGACCGGCCGCATACGCCTTGTGGGGGACCCTAACATGTGGTCGGTGCTTGTGCCTGCAGGGGAAACATGGACGGCTCACATGCTCTTCCCGGCTGACGCCGCCCTTGCTGGCGCGGTCGGCGCTCCTGCACCGGGGGGCCAGCCGCGCCCAGACCCGGGCCCAACCTGGCAAGCCGTGACCCCGGCTGACTTGGAGGCAGCCCTCAGCCCGACACAAACTAGGACGGCGGGACCCCCACATTTGGCTGTAAAATTCAGAGACCATGGCACGGTGGTCGACACCTCTGCACCGCCCGCGCCGCGGTGTGACCAGCGTCGGGACCGCCCCACTCGCGACCGACTCCGCACCCCGAAAGGCGTGCACCGTGCGGCCTCCCGGGAGTCGCTGCGACCGGAGCCGTCACTGAATGAATCCGGAAAGCGGCAGCGGCCTCAGGACCTTGCCTCTGCACAGCACGCGCAGCGCGGCCCCCGCACCCGCCGCGCCGGCAGAGCCCCGAAACTTGCTTGGCCGGCCCCGCCAACCGTGAACGGGGGAACGAGGGAGGGAGAGGACCTGGCGGCGTCAGTGCAGCCCATCCAGAAGCAACAGCGTGACCCACCCCCAAGCCGGCCAGACGTCGCGACCTTGGGACACTCAGAGCCGGGCCATCCACCCGACACTGGCCCGGGGGAGCCCCCGCTGTGGCAAGCTGACCCAGGCACTGGCCATCAACCATTACCGTCCATCAGCATCCTGGAGTGCAATGCACAGACCCTGAGCACCTTCGCAGACGACCTGGTTGAACTGCTAGATCAGCACAGCCCGGATGTGGTAGTGCTGCCCGAAATAAAACAGTACCGGCGGAGGTTCCTGTGGCACGACGCCCAATTCAGAGCGGCCCTCGGTAAATATAGGGCATATTTCACAGAAGCCCCGTCCGAAGACTGGAGGCATGGGACCCGGGCCACCCGCAAGGCGGGGGTGCTAATACTACTCAAGAAAGACGCGTTCGTTGCTCCACAAGTAGAGCAGCACACTCCTGCCCACCTGCAAGGGTATTACTTGCGCCTCCTTATGGACCTACCTACACGAGGCAGACTTCACCTACTGGGCATCTATTGTCCACCTGCGGGCGACGGGGGCGCCCTCATCCGCCAACAAGTCCTGCAACAGATCGAAGCTGACATGGCGGCAACAACAGACTGCTTGACCGTTGCCGTTGGGGACTGGAACGCAGCGGTGCGCCCGCATGACAGGCGATTTAGCCCGGTTGCCCCGGCTCTTACCCCGGCCGACACCAGTTTCCAAGCCTGTGCCAAGTTGAGCCTGCTCTCCCTTGACCCAGCCGACCCGCACCACAGACAGGCGTCCTTCCGGGCGGGACACGTGCCAGTCAGCAGAATTGACGACGCCTTAAGCAATCTCCCCGGCGGGGCGTGGTCACGGTGGAGGCCGTACTCCACTTGCCAAG